CGCGCAGGAGGCAAAGCGCCGCGTGCCCGGCCTACAGGGCCCGGCGGAGTGCGGGGCACGGGCCGGGGCCGGGGATGGGCGCGAACCGGGCGGCCGGGCCCGGCGGCCGCGTGTCACCGTGGACAGCTCCAAGGCCAAGACGTCGCTGGAGGCGTTGAAGATCAGCCTGAGGCAGCTGCGCTGGAAGGAGGTGAGCCCGGCCCGCCGGCGCCCCTTCCCTGCTGCCGTGCGGGGCCCAGCCCGGCGCGGAGCTGCCCTCTTTTCTCCCAGCGCCTTCCTCTGCCGCGTCGCAGCGCCCACTGCCCTGGCAAAGCCCTCCCGCTGCCTCCTCCTGCCCGAGTCTGCCGTTGCCAGAGCTTTTCCCTGTCTCTTTCTTCCCCAGTGTCCCTGACCCACGGTGAAAGCGACCCCCTTCAGCAGGCAGTTCCTTCCAGTTGGTGTTTTCTGGCATTTTTCCATGTTGGTTATTTATAATTAGGTTCAAGGCATGAAGCTGATTTATGACCCACGGTGGCATCAGCAGTTATGCAAGCCAAAATAGGAGTAATCGGATCTTACCCTTCAAAGCTTAAACTCATCCCTGGAAGGGGCAAGAAATAAACCTCTCCCCCATGTAGAAATGTTTGTGGAAAAAAGCATCTCCATTTGCAGCTTTTCTTCCCTTTCACCCTTATCCCTTCCAAGTATGGGGATGTGATATTGAGTAAGAAAATATGAGCCGGTAGATCAGCCTTTAGGTCTGAAGGCAAAACCTCTGCTTTGTAAATTATCTTGAGGCCATGTTAAACAACAGAGGGTGTGAGTAAATTGATACTGAACAGTTTAATATGACATACATAACTTTTGGTCTTCTAAATTATTGTGCTGAGAGAAGATATATGTATATATTTTTTTCCTGCAACTTTCTCAGCGCAGTGTGAGGAGGCCCCTATTGTGCTTGTTTGTTTTTAAACTGGAAACCTGGCAGTATGGGAGCAGGAATTGAAGTGATATTTTGAGGAGGAATGAAAGTGATATTTTGACGTTATTTTAGTCCTGAAGAAATTTCTAATGTGTATCTCACCACAGATGCTAAATAGTTTTCAAGTTGTAAAGATCTTTCCACAATGACTTTATAAATGGCTTCATAGAAGCCATTACTCTTTTGTAAGAAAGAGGGTATTTATAATCCATTTGGAAAAGGGAAGCTGGAGGAGTCAAAGAGGACGTGATCTGTGGCACAGCTGCCCCATTTGACAAAGGCACCGCTGGGATGAGAAACTTCTGTCTCTTGTCTTGTCTCTTCCTCCAGGCCCACAGGATATTAATATTTCCATGCAGCTGACAGTGTTTGTTTGTTTTGCTTTTAAATAAAGGGTAGGGAACATTTGCACATAGTCTGTTCTGCATTGTTTAAACCTGACAATTAAAACCTACAGAATTGTTTTCTGGAGGATATACTTGTATTTGTTCATAATATCTGAAATGTTTAGTGCCACAAAGATATATGCATCCTGCCATGAAGCATTTAATGCATTCTCATTTCAGTGATGTACTGAACAAGGGTTACATTTAATTTCTTTATTCTTGTGGCAAAATTTCATATCCAGAGTACCTGGATAGTGTTACACTGAGTGCTTGTGATTTACTTGGGTTGCCCTCACGAGTTATAGTGGTAATGAGACACGTTTGCTGGTTGACTTTTATCTTTCCTGTTTCCTGAGGTTTGACTGCTGGGGGTATCTGATTCTCTGTGCGGGGTGTCCTGCCCTAGACTTGGCTGGTTTCACAGGCTCCTGTTATCTTGAATATCCACACCGTATTACCAGCATTCTCCTTCCTTCTCTGTATCCAACAATAGCAGCTGCTTTTGGCTTTACTTAATCTTTGTTTGTTTGCTGTCTCCCTTAATATCCTCTCTCCTCTATCTGCTAATTCAGTCAATATTTCTCATTTAGTTTGTTGCTTTCCCTTCTGACTTCTTTGTAGTCCTCTTAATAAAGAAGAGACCAAATATTGAATTTTGAGACATCTGTACTATCTAAACAACTAATAATTCATTCCTTATAAAGTCACTGAAATTCTTGAGCCTCATATGGCTCAAGAGATGAGTCGGTCTCTCAATGGCAATTAGCTGGAATGTAGGAAATGCCCTAATAAACACTATGTGGTAGTAGGATTTGTCTAATGCCAATTAATATCAGGTCAATACCATGTTTACACTTTTAAAGCAGACCCATATGTAGGGGGATTTGGTTGTATGTTCGTTTTATTTTCAGGGGACACAGAGAGCATTTTGCAATATACTAATTGTTCTGTATTGAACAGCTAGAATGGAAAACATTCATCTGCCCACTTGTGGAAGGGAGAGGTAAAATTGCCAGTTTCTGCATATGCAAATATTCCCCATTTATATCTGAGCTATTCCATAACTCTTTATTTATTTCATTTCATTTTATTTTTATTTTTTTACTATGAGACAGGTAAATGGCAAGAGTATTTTTCAACTGGCAATATTCAAGTCTTGTTTTCACAAAATTCTATTTCTCACTTTCATGCAAGAAATCAATCTAAATAATGAGATATTGCATGGGAAGTCTTGGGAAAATTGATTGGTATTTGGGCGGCTGCAAACACAGTATATTGCAGAGCAATAGCTATAGCTATGTGACACCTTTAGAAAATCTCTAGTCTAGTGGAGCAAGTCTGGGGAGAGAGGGATTTTTTTTTTCTTTTTAATTGGCATTTTAAAATAGCAGCAAAGATTTGGTTTAACCCATACCTCTGCAAAAAACCATGAATATCCATCCAGCTCTACTGGTTTGATACAGTTTTCAGCAATGGAGATCTTGAGTGAATTAAATTATCAACCGTGATAGCCATGTGTTAGCTAATGTACAAGGGTGGACTTCCTAAAAGGCATTGCAGAATTTCTACGTGCCATTGGAGCAGTTACCGACATCATTAGATTGCTGGCTGATTTGGTGTGTCAGATTCTTTAAATGAACATGATATGCCAAATGAGGTAATGGGCACAAATTGAGCTTGCATCTTGAGTTTATTCATTGCTTAATAAATCATTTCTTCAACTGGCTTTCAATTACCAGGAAAATGGAAGAAGCGGGTATCTCGGACATCAGATATCCCAGCATCAAGGGCTTCATTCGTCTCACTGGTCGGTAGATGCACAGAGGCATAGAAATAGTTTGAAATTTCATGGTAGGCAAAGTGGACTGGGAGCCATGATGTCATTAAGCATCACAGAGCAAACTGATGTGACCCGTGAGACAGAGTTTAAATTACTGCATTCCATTCCAGAGGTAGAAATGACCTGTCAGATGAATTAGACCGTGATTGATAAGAGTCGTGAAAACAAATCTGCTCACTTTGCAGCCTCCTGTTTTTGTTCTCGTGAATGCCCTCCATGTCCAAATACAGAAAGATTTTAAATAAATCCTTTAAAGAGTTAGTGAGTTGTTTGCAATGCGGAGTTGTTTGCGTGAGCGCAGGGCTGTGCAGACGGAGCCGGGTCGCTGCGGTCCCAGCCGTGACCCGCGTGTCCATCAGAGCAGGGCCGGGGCCGCCGCGGCCTGGGGGCTGCCGGAACCGGGGCACTTCACTCGCCCACCCTTCTCTTTAGGTAGCCTCGCACCAGACTCCGGGAGGGGGCAGAAAAGCCTGTTTGCACGGGTTTAAAATGCTTCCATATCTGCCTAGTGCTGCCACAGAGCGCTGAATAATGCAGCTTGTTTGTTGTTCTTTTTCTCTTTCTAAGCACTGTTGTTGTGTTAAAATATGATGCAGATGATAGTGAATGTTTTCCAGCCCATTCAGGAGATTAGTTTGGTCCCATTGTTACACAAATCCAAACAATACAGTTTTTTTTCAGAAGTAGCCAAGCTGCTATGCTATCTGAATCGTGGATTCTGCTGTAAAATGGCCTCCGTTTTGCCATGCAGAGGTGCTTACACTTCATCTGTTGTGAAATGATTTCTGTGCAGTGTTCATAAAACGCTTTGATATCCTCTGTAGATGAAAGATGTTATATAAATGCAAATTTCATTCCTTTCCTTTCAATTCCATTTAATAAATAAATAAATTGTTCAGGTTTTAGTGGGAAGGGAAGCTTGAGACCTAATACTAAATCTGTATTCTGCATATACCTGTGGAAAGAGGTTAAGGCCACTGATTGTCTTTCAGAGCCTTACAGAATTAATTTTTGCATGTACAAAGTCCTTTTTTTTTTTCCTGTCTGAATAATAAGTGAAGAATCCTCCAACTCTGCTACTGTGTATTTCACCCCTGTGAGTAAGGAAGTAGAGAAAGGATACATCACAAAATTAGCATTCTAAATTTAATTTTCAAAGCTGTTTAGTAAATAAACTTAAATTTTAATTAAAGTAGCAGCTAAAGTAAATAATTCACTCGAAAGCTTTATGCTTTATGCTTTTTTCCATTTCTTTTTTATGCTGGAAAGGAATCTAAGGCTTAGCGGAATACACTATCGGAAGAAAAAACAGTTTTGGGGGTAAAGAATTAGTAGTTTTTGCAGCATACTGTGGTTGTTAAGGTACATTTGCAGAGTTTCTTTTAATATGTTAACTATTTTGAAGTTATGGGGTATGGAAGATGGTGGATATTTAATAGAACTGGATCCTGAAAATGCTGTAGTTGTAATTATGGCATACAGTTTGAAAAAGATGCAATCTAATAATATAATAGATTTTTGGGAATGTACCCATAAGATAATGCACTCCAGTTACCATTGGAAATTTATGGTCAAATCTTGTGTGAATGGGAAAATAAAGTCTTTTAAGTTGTTAGGCTATTTAATGTTCTTGGCATAATCATCTTAGTCCTAAAAAAGTTAAAAGTATGCACTTAGCAAGTGATTAGATAAATATAGTTACTTCACTTAAAAGGTTTTCTTTGAGTAACTGTTAAATTTTTAATGCAGCTTGTGCATCCACTTAGCCTGGCTTGCTCAAAGTGCCTTGCAGTTATGGCCCTTCTTGAATTTTGGAAGCTTGAACTGCTGTTGAGTGGTTTATGCCTTATATTTTAGAAAAGTAATGAAGCAATATTGCCATTTTGTTTCCAAACTTCTCGTATCTCTTTTGCAGTTTCCATGCGGCAGACGTTTGCCGTGTGATATCTATTGGCACGGGGTGTCGTTTCACGATAATGACATATTCTCAGGTCAAGTCAACAAGTTTCCAGGTACCTTTCTTCTGCTTCTGATTTAAACAAATGCTTTAAAAAGTAACAGTTTTAGTTGTTTTTGTGTTTTACTGTTTTCTTCTGAATCACCTGCCTACCCAGCTGACAGTATTTTCAGAATGTGATTTTTGGTAGGTGATTTCTGCTCAGGGGAGAATTTGGGAGAGGGATGGTTATAGAGCTTGTGTGGAGGTGAGGTGATCTTGTAAGAAATGAAGACAAATAGGCTTATTTGTCAATCTGCATGTGTTTGAGAGGGTAGAGGGTTCCTCATAAATTTAGGTTAGTTTTAGTCCTTTCCTTCTCCTAGATTGTCTTTTGGACTTCCCATTGCTATTTCTCTGTGGGTTATCCACTATTTAAGTTATTAGAATCATAATAACAGATGGAATTTATTTGAAGTCCAATGGGTTTCTCATCTTCAGCTTTTGATAAATCTAAATACACTAGGGATGATATGAAGAGAAAATAGTATATTTGAATTTGGCATTCAGCCTTTTTGGATTGCAGAGTAAGCCTCTCAACATTACAAATATGTATGGGATTAGAGTTAGACTATGTGACCAGACCAATAAAAGTAAAAGGCAACATTCCCATTCTCTTCTTCTAAATATTGTACGATGAGATCATAGTCCTGATTTTTGGTTAGTCACATACTAAATAAAAAGTGTGTTCTGAGTTCTCTTTATTGAGCATACTTACATCCTCTTATGAATTTAGAAAAAGACTGAGTTTTAGGATATGATTTAAGTGAGGTAAGTATGCAATTGTTGTGTGTTATTTCACATCATTAGCAGTGCTGAATATGTGAATTAGTTTTGTTTTTAGTAGTGGGGAGCAAAAATCTGTTTTGAGCTCTGTCCTTTTTCAGGGAGAACAGACATCCTCAAGCGGATTTTTTTAATATTGAAGAGTTCACGTCAGCCCTCATCTTATTATGACTATTCTTCTTCTTTAAGCTCCCTTATTTCTCATTTAATCCCGTTTGAGAGCTCTCTAAACAATAGCTAAGATCTTATGTATTGACTTACCTAAGCCCTTTGCTTCAGATTTATTGCTGCTGTTAGTATGCTCTGAGAATAAGAAACCTCAGGCATCGAACTCAATGCTCTTTACCCTGGCTTTCTGCTGTCTATGGACAGTTCACACACTACTATCAAATAGTATAGTTTTCTGGTGGTTTAAATTGAGCAGTATTGTGTGAATGTTGCCCTCTCTTCTCTGTCTTCTATGCCCCTATGCAAGCAGAGTGTGTAGGTGTCAAGGAAAACAGAGTGAAGAGGTCATCAGAGCTGAACATGTGTTCTAGGAATGTAGCTTTAGTCTGATGCTGCGTTTTGCTAAATTCTTTCTCCTCGAAAGAGGTCTTGATTCTTCTGTTGTTTAATTGTGAGATATACAAAAAAATCTTAAAAGGATTGGTCCTCAGAAAGACTTTTCCATAAGGGTAGCTTCTGGGGTCACATCTGTTTTGTTGTCTGTATGTGCCCTGGTGCTTTCTCACTCCTCCAGGAAGCTCCGGAACCCACTGGCCAAAATCAACCACACTCAGCAGAGGCAGAAATTTACTGACAGGGTGGTAAATGCCTTGGAAAAAGCTTTGATCAGAACGTACTAATCTGGACATGGGATGAACCGATCTTCAGATTCAAAGCTAGAGGAAAACAGACTTCCTAAATTCTATTGTTTCAGAGCCTATTCTGACAGAATTGCTTAAATAAATGCAAAGTAAATACAAAGTGGTTTCTTATATTTAAATTGAATTGTTTTCTATTTTTGTAATGATATCAAGCCAAGATGTTAGTTGTGGACTACAGCAGAGGCAGTAATTACTATTAGACTAAAGCACTTCCGTTTGTTTTTCTGAGCTCTGTTTTGGACAGCTAATATAAGGCTCTTCTCATATGATACAGTAGTCAGGGGAGCGGTACAATTTTTTGTCAGACTGGCTAAAGTTTTGGTCACACTGAAAACGTAGGCAAGAGTGCCTGCCTATACGGTGAGTAATGGTATAATAATTTACTTTTACAATGAGGCGTCAGTGACAATTCTTCATTGCCTTTAAATAATATCTATTATTTTCCGTAGGCATGACAGAGATGGTACGCAAAATTACACTGAGTCGGGCAGTGCGAACAATGCAGTATCTATTTCCTCTTGAATATAACTTCTATCCGCGATCCTGGATTCTGCCAGATGAATCTTCCTTCTTTGAGAAAGAGGTAGAATACTTTTACTCTCAGAATAATATAATTTGTTACATATGGTGGCCATGTCATTCCTTAATTTTTTTTCCATTTCTACCTGATCGTTAAAAATCACACTTACATAGGTGCTGTGGATGGCATTGTTTTACATTTGCCTGAGATCAGAAATAGTGTGGATGAACTGCCCTTTTTTTTTTTTCCCTAGAATAAATTTAAAATAATTGAACATCTTTGCAATACCCGAAGAAATGTTTTAAAATTAAGCACAATAGAAACATAAATTCTTTCCCCTCATACCCTACCGAGTTTAAGGGGACTGAGTATTAGGAATCTAATACGGTAGTTTGTGGAAGATGTTACCTCCTCAGGTTCGTTACCACTGAAGTCTTGTTAGTCCATCCTTCCTGTTTTATCTGAATCCTTCAGAACAGTTTTCTGTTGCGTGTTGTTTTAAATATATGCACATTTTTCTGCATAATTGTTTGAGTGTCCTGTCAGACTGTTACTTTGTTTAAATATTAAAAATGTAACAACATGCCATTCTTTTTTCAGCTGGTGTTCAGTTCTGTTATTGCAAATATTTTTAAAATATTGTATGTGTTTGTTTTAACCCTGTCTGACTCGCCCAGTGCATTCTTGTATTCTACAGTATCCTCTGCTTGGAAAAGTGAGCAGGAAAAGGTATGGACTTTATTAGACTTCTATACTGTATGTTACTTTTTAGATAACTATCATTTCCACAATCCAGTTAAATCCATTATCATCTTTTAATATATACTCTGCAAGTATGCTGGGCCGCTGCCATGACACTGCTAATAACAGTAAAAATGAACACAATTCCAATAGTATTTCAGGTTTGTTACTGAAAATGCAAGACCACTTTGTAAAAGTCTAAGTTATGCAATCAATTTAGGTGTGACAGGTGAATAAGTAAAAATAACGTGAAAGTAAGCTTTCAAATTGATGCACTGGGGTTCTCGCTGTGATTCTTTTGGGAATTGTTCTTGTCTCAGTTAAAAGGCACTGATTAAACTGAGCAGCGCGTGGAGATGTGCACAGTACCCCACGGTGTCAGCAGGTGGCACTGTAAATAAATATTTGGGGGAAGAGGATTTGGGTTTTGTTCCAAGAATAACAGATGTCCAGTAACACATTCTTCAGAATTTCCTTTGCATATGTTCTTCCATCTGTGTTTGAGAAAAGCACAGTTCTTGTTATAAAACACTGTATTTTATGTTGTAAAAGTTTATATTCTACTTAACAGAAGTTTGTAATGTAACCCCTCCAAAACAAGAAAAAACACAAAACAAAAAATCCCAAATCCACTATGAACCCTAACTGATTCAGAACTCTTTTCACTTGGAGTTCTCTGATCTCTCAGTAGGAGCTTTCCAGTCTTTTCTGCTCTTTATGTGTGCATGCATTTTTTTGTTTGTTTGCTTTACTATTGAGGAGCCTTTATGTTGTTGAAAATGTCATCTCTCAAAGACTGAATTTTTCGTTTATTCGCAAACAGCTTGAGCGGTGCCTGCATTTTAGACATACCCGTATAAAAACTGGCATACGCTTGAATTTGTGATTGCCATATGGGCATTTACTTGAACAGAAGATGACTTAACCATCTCAGGTACTTCTAGAAGTGAGACTGTATTGTCATGAACTTCAGCAACTAAGTAGACAAGTCATGTTGAAACCTGTGCTGCTGTGGCTTCAATATTATTGGTATTCAAGCCCATTATAGTAAAGTTAATTACCAAATGTCACAATTTCTGTTGCAGCATAGGTACAAGTTAGACAGGAGAAGATAATTTGGTGCCATTTATAGTACTGAATTTTATCTCCAAGGGCTGGACTGAGAAATTAATGCCTATGAGCCTTTGTATTAGAAATGATTACTAAAGGAAGAAATTCATTGAGAATTTCAATCTTGCTACCTCTTCCTGAGGCACTCCAACATATCCAAACAGCTTTCCTCAAATACTCCTACTATGCCTCAGTTATATCCTGAGGCTAATGAATTTTTATCATACATATGTAGTAATAGCTTAATCGATTGCCACCAGTTTTCTGCTGTTCCCACTTTCCCACACACATAACCCCAGGTGGAAAATGGCATGACAATCTAATAATTAATCTTGCATGCTATAAAAGCCATTAATCAATGAGAGCTGCCTTTTTTTACAGTTGGATGTAGATTTGGTTCATACTGGGAAACACCAACAAAATGATAGTTCCCTTAGCAGCATTCATATTAAACTGAAATAATGTTTGTTTTTTTAACAATAATTTTAAAGTTTTAATCAGTAAGTATGTGTTTATTTTAATTATTTACCTATTTTTGTTTCATCAAGCCTTGTTTACTAACATGTCACCATATCAGAAGATGAGATACAGATAAATTTATCGGGGGCTGTGGCTACTTCACTCATTGTTAGAAAAGAATCTGCTGGAATCTCAGCACTCATAAGAATTTGTTCCTAATAGGAAACTCTAGTTTCTAAAATGTAATCAGCTTGGGATTCAAACCAGGACCTTGGTTACTCTTGTGTTGCCTCCTGCATACTGTCTGTGAGGATGATGAGTAGGCCTACTGTGATTAATTTTTAATAAGAATCTAATTTGGGCAGTCTCATTTCCAGTGCAGCATATTTTTGGTGGTTTAACGAGATTTTCAGTTATTGGACACCTCTTAGACTTATTATAGGCTTAAATATTCTGGCCTGTATGCTGTCACATCTTATAGCCCATTTTATATGTTTTATCATTTTAACATATTCATTCAACCAGTGTTATACTCATTGAAGATAAACCTGCAGTTGGACCAGGTTTACATTCCATCAGGCATTATACTCTCCCTCACTGCTGACTGTAAATAGTTAACATTAAAGATAATGAGTCAGCTGAGTTTGTCATTTTGCCATGCGTCTCAGTGCTATTTTGTTTGGAACCATGTCTGCATCAAATGTCACAAGTATTGTAATTAAACAAGAAAAAAACCCTCCAAACTGAAGCATTTGCATCTCCCTCCAGTTAGTCTGCATTGAAATGTTACATTCTGGGCTGTCTCTGTAGTAAACACGTATCTTGTTCTGAACTGAAATAACAGTCAATGACTGTTTCAAAATGCAATATTTCAAAAGCAGATTGCCATTGCATCTGCAACAATAGTCCCCAGAAAGCATTATCGTTCTCAAAAAAGTGCTGCTGTAGCAAAGCAAAAGTCGCCTGAGGCAAGAAGAGCAGAAATGGGGAGCAGGAGGCAGATTGTCCTTATTCTGTTAAGGGAGAGAGAGTCTTTATTACTTTCTGCCCTATTAGACCCCGATTGGCACTATGTACAGAGGACTAGGATTGTAGTACAGCATTTTTAGTAGTGGGTATTTAAGATTAATCAAATACTCACTGGAATGCTAGCATTAACTAGAAAGAATCCTCTAGTATGCACTGTAATATCCTTTAAGGGGAGGATTATTACAAGGGGATAAAATACTGCTTTCCTTATTTGCACATCTAGGGCCACTGATCTAATTGGGCTTATTTATCCATACACTGTTTATGTAAGCCTAATCTCCATTGTGTTGTTTTGCTCTTTCAAGTGACCTATTTTGATGAAGGATCTTTCATTGCATTAGTGTGATTACTTGTCCATGAGAAAAATCCTAATCTAAATAATTAAACTTGTATTTAAGCTGTAGTTAGTGGGAAGGTTTTTAATAATGTGATTCTCAATAAAATAAATAATTGGATAGAATATAACCAAAAGTACTTTTGGTCTTTGGAAATGTCAGAGGGGAACTAAAGCGTGGATTGGTTGCTTAGCATAGTCACAGAAAAGAGAGTTGTGTCCGAAAATCATGATTATGTTAGTGGTAGCTTCTTCCCGTTATGTTAGTGGTAGCTTCTTCCCGTGTTCCAGTTCTTCATTCTGCAGCGCCAGGGCTCACTGTGGCAATTGGTTGTTTTTCCTTTGTTAGTTCTTGTCCTCGGGCATCAGTCAATCCCCAGTTTTTGTCAGGGAGAGGCCAGGCTCGTGTGGGAGACGATGGCAGCAGCTTCTTCCAGCAGGTTGCTGGCTGAGCTGGGAATGGGCTCTGCAGGGCAGTTCTAGCGTCTGGGAATGAGCAAATGTAAGCCAAGGATTGTCTGTACTCAGAATATCTGTGGTATTTCAATATATTAATGTGACCATTCCATTTAGTAGGAAAATTGAAGTATTTTGCTTTTCCAGATCTCATGAGCAGCTGATAAAGTTGCCAGGCTGGATCCTGCACTTTTTTAGCTGCATCCTATGTTGGGGATGCCTTGCCTTGCCTGGGTGCTACTATGAGTTTCATGAACTACAGTCTATCATTGTCTGTTCATGAAAATGTGGATTTTATAGCTGCGTTTTGAAATTTACAATTTGTGCTCTAACAATTTCTTTCCTCACAAACATCTGTGAATGCAGTGGTGCTGGATTCAACCTCATGGATGGTGCTGGACTCATATCCTACTTTCTGTGTGAGGATGAAGACACTTCTCTATTACACACTTTGTGTTTCAGCAAATAGGTTGCATCTGGAATTCTGTAGGATATTTAGGTTCTGCCAAACCAGGGATATTCCCCCTACTCAGTTTTCATTTCTATTTGAGGTAAATCAGTTCCCTTATTCACTTCAAGAATCAAAGGCACCATTTTGAAAAACTCAGGATGAGGAGACAAGGTTTATACCATATTCCTAGATATCTACAAAGCACTGAGAGAACTGGCACAGGTATCAACATTCAGGTGGCTGTAAACAATACAAAAATAGGCAGTTTAGTTCTCCATCAATACTCTAACAAAAATTAAAGCTGACTTTAGTAAACAGAGATGTTTCATAGCAAGTTGCTACAAACAAGAGAATGAAGTCAATTCTAAAAAGTACTGGTGTGCTAGATTTTGTGGGGGCTTTATCTCACTATTTCTCTGGCTTGCTGTTTATTTGTATGCTCACAGAATGTGAATAGGTGTCAGAATATCTCACCTCCTAGTTTCCTTTATGGGGGGGCATCTCCCTTTACTGCATACATATAAGTCCAGTTGTCAGTGTGTCTGTGGACAATATGTTTCCTGAAATCATTCCACTAATGCCATTTTTTAGCTGTCAAGTAAGTTTGACATAATCTTTAAGAAATCCACAAACCAAAAGCATTTTCCCCGAGAGAAATACAGCGACTTTTCTAAGCCCTGTTAGAAGCATCGTGCCTGGGCTGGTGTTGGTGCTGGCTGCGTGGCCGCTCGCTCGCGGGCACGCGCTGCGTCCCGTGGAGCCGCAGCGCCCGCAAAGGCAACGTTGCGCTAGCCCTTAACTCGTAGGAGGCACATTTTGTGTTTCCTTCTCCCACTATTGTTTGATTTATACCTCAATAACTAAACTAGTTTCCTTAGATTAATGGCTACTTTTGCTTGTAGTTGTTCGAAACACAGCACAAAAGTTTAGCTTTACAATTTCATATACGTTAGTGAGTAATATAATGGACCTCATGAAGTATATACTGTAAATTGTTACTAAAATTAAAAAGAATTTCCTGGTACCATTTATGCAAAGGCTTGTTGTATAGAAAACACTTTTATTGGCACTGGTAACTCCCTACTCATGCTTTTTTGTTGTTGTTGTTGGGTTTGTGCTTGTTGACACTGTTTATATTCTACCTTTTTCGCACGGTGTTTATTACTATAGTGATGTGATCATATTGTTTTTATTATTTTTGCTTGTGAATGCAATTTGTTAGTTTTCTTTCTGTCTTCCCCACTTTTAGTGTTCTTCAGCATAATTCTTCTCTTCCTTGTAGATTCGTATGATGAAAGACAGGGATCCATCCTGGAAGCCCACTTTTATTGTAAAACCTGATGGAGGTTGCCAGGGGGATGGAATCTACCTCATTAAAGACCCTAGTGACATCAGACTGACAGGAGGCCTACAGAGCAGGCCAGCTGTGGTCCAGGAATATATTTGCAAACCACTGCTTGTTGACAAACTGAAATTTGATATTCGTCTGTATGTCTTACTGAAATCTTTAGAACCCTTAGAGATTTATATAGCCAAAGATGGACTTTCTAGATTTTGTACAGAGCCCTATCAAGAACCCACTCTCAAAAACTTGCACCAGGTTTTTATGCACTTAACCAACTATTCATTAAATATTCATAGTGGGAACTTCATCCATTCTGACAATGCAAACACTGGCAGCAAGAGGACTTTTTCAAGCATTCTGTGCAGACTGTCTTCCAAAGGAGTCGATGTCAAAAAAGTGTGGTCAGATATAATTTCACTGGTGATTAAAACAATTATTGCCCTAACACCAGAACTAAAAGTTTACTATCAGTCTGACATACCATCAGGAAAGCCTGGGCCAACTTGCTTTCAGGTGGGTTGGAATTTTTGCTAACAATGTTATTTATATTTTATATGTATGGATTAATTTTATGGATATTTCATTCCTTTTCTACATTTTTTTTAACTGATTTTGTTCATCAGTGGAGGAAGCAGGGGGAGAGGTGAATAGCAGTTGTAAACTGGCCAGTGCCCTTTCGAGTGGACTCACAGCTTAACTTCTCTGCACCCAAGTTTTAGCTTAGAGATCACTGTCAGCCAGTGTTACTGCTGGCCATAAACAGACAGAGAATTTTCAATAAGTATCAACTATTAGCAGCAATATTCTCCCCAGCTTCTAGATGTTTATAATTGAAGCGTTGCAGCTTCATAATGCAGCTCTGATGGTGGTAATTTTAAGGCCTCATTATTGTAGGTGCTAAGATTCCATGTTGATAGATGAAGTATGTAGAAATGAAGGTACCGTGGAAGTAGATACTGTGCTAAAGAAAAATGGCTTCAGTAATTATTCAGCAGTACTTCACAGTTCTTAGTTATTTCTCTTCTCCCTCTCAAAAGGAACATGGTTTAGCAGATGTGGTGTTGAAGGCTTTACGGTTGGATTCGGTCTTGAAGGTCTTTTCCAACCATAATGCTGCTGTGCTTTTATGATTCTTTTGAGGAAACACTTTGGTGCAAATAACATTGAACTCTTCATTTCCTCAGTTGGGATTGGAGAATGTTCTCACAGATAGAGGAAAGGATGTTGGAAAGGAAAGCAGAAAAGTTAT